TCCTACTTCCACCTCTTGGTTTCCTCTTGCTCCTCCTGTTACTCTTATTCCTTTCCAAGCAGCCCCCATGCCACCACCATCGGCTACCACCTCCTCACCGACTGCACCATCCACATCGTCCTCCGCTGCCTCTTCTGCCTTGGAGCAGCTCTGCCCCCCTGCGCACATACCACCTCCAGCCCCTACTGTCTCTCCACTTCCGCACAAAACCCACCCTCCTCTAACCACCTCATACTACTCATACCCCTTCACAAACCATGACCCCAACCCATTTCCCTTCCAATCCGACCCCCACTGAACCAGAAACCCAACCTCCCCAGCCATCCCCTATCCGTACCTACCTCAGAAACCCAAATAGACTCGTTCTTACCTTCCCAGCCCCTGACCCATCGCCTCCCCCACCATCTTCTATCTCACAACCCATGGTTCCCGATCACCAAATGGTGACGCGTGCCAAAGCCGGTATTAGCAAGCCCAATCCTCGGTTTGCTTTAGTCGCCCACCAAACCCCATACCCTCATCCGTTGAACCGACATGTGTTTTTCTCAGCCATTAAAGATCCCTTTTGGCGAGCTGCCATGTCTACTGAGTTTAATGCGCTCATTAGCAATGGAACTTGGGAGCTTGTTCCATCTGACTCTACTCAGAATCTCATTGGTTGTAAATGGGTATTTCGTATCAAACGACACCCAGATGGCACTATTGACAGGTACAAGGCCCGTTTGGTCGCCAAGGGCTTTCATCAGCGCCCCGGCGTCGATTTCTCAGAAACTTTTAGTCCAGTGGTTAAGCCCCACCACCATCCGTGTTGTGTTGCATCTTGCCTTGTCTCATGGCTGGCCTATTCGTCAGTTGGATGTCAACAATGCCTTTCTTCATGGCACACTTAGTGACACTGTTTATATGTCACAACCCCCAGGTTTTGTTGATACCCAACCTCCCATCCATGTTTGTAAACTCCGAAAGGCTCTTTATGGCCTTAAGCAGGCACCTCGGGCATGGTACAAGGAATTGAGCTCCTTCTTGCTCTCACAAGGCTTCCGCAATGCTACCTCTGATGCCTCCCTATTTATTTCTACCTTTGGTAGAAATGTCATTTATTTCTTGGTTTATGTTGATGACCTTATTGTTACTGGCAACAATTCTTCTCTTGTAATGCAGTTCATTGCCACATTGGCTCGCCGGTTCTCTGTCAAAGACTTGGGGTCTCTTCATTACTTCCTTGGTGTTGAGGTTATTCCCACCACGACTGGTCTCTTTCTCTCGCAACACCATTACATTCGTGATCTCCTACTCAAAGCAAAATGGACGGTGCCAAGGAGGTCAGCACTCCATTATCTCCTTCTGATAGTCTTGTGCTCAATGATGGGACTCCACCTACTGATGCTACTCGATTTCGTCAAATCATTGGTGGTCTTCAGTATCTCAACCTCACACGCCCTGACATCTCCTTTGCCGTTAATAAGCTCTCTCAATTCATGCATAAGCCTTCGGAGTCTCACTGGCAGGCCCTCAAGCGTCTCCTTCGTTACTTGAAGGGCACCTTATACTTTGGTCTTCATTTGTCTCGTCGCTCATCTCATCGTCTCTATGCTTTCTCTGATGCCGATTGGGCCGGCAATCTTGATGACCGTAAGTCCACTACTGCCTATGTTGTTTATCTTGGTGGCAACCTCATCTCTTGGAGCTCTCGCAAGCAACGCTCTGTAGCCCGCTCTTCCACTGAAGCTGAATATCGAGCCATTGCTACCACCACTGCCGAAATTGCATGGATTCAATCCTTGTTACGTGAACTTGGCATTTCCCTTTCCGGTCCACCGCTCATTTCATGTGACAACATTGGAGCCACATTCTACTGTGCTAATCCTGTTCTCCATTCTCGCATGAAACATATTGATATTGATTTTCAGTTTGTCCGGGATCGCGTCAATAGTGGTCTTCTTCAAGTTTCACATGTTTCTACTGTTGACCAACTTGCCGACGCCCTCACCAAACCACTTCCACGTCTGCGTTTTCAGCTTTCCGGTCCAAGATCGGTGTCTTCGATGGGACCACCGTCTTGCGGGGGGCGTAAAAGGGAACCTTCATCAAAGGAAATCATCTCATCATCAACGCAATCATCTGCAATCTCTCATCAAAGTCAACCTTGATTTTTGCCTTCCTGTCATAGCTGATCTGGATTGATTCTCTTCATCAATCCCATTGTATTTACCTATCTAGACAACCTGGATTGATTCTCTACATCAATCCTGTTATATTTACCTTATTTAGATATTATCAATTTGTATATAATAGTCATTCCGTGTATCAATCAGATATCAATGAAATATACTATTCATTCTTATATTGTTTCCCTGTGTCACATTTGCATAAGCATAAGCTGTGCAAGAGCAGTTCTGAAGGCATTGAGATCACACTCACTCATACTCTTATTTTCTAACAGAACAGCCTGATCTGGTAGTTTCAACTTCGAAATCTTTGAAAACCCATCTTCCTTATTTCACATCAATGCTTTCTCTCGAACACAGCCAGCGAGCCAATCCCCCATATCCCATCGATTTTGGAATTTTGGCCTAAAACCTGTCAAACACTTGCATGGTGATGAGAGGGTTTCATTTTTACCACTGCAGGCACCATATGGACTGCAATGAGCATAAAAATCACATTGATCAAAAGCCTTCCTCGACCATACAAACCATGTTCACTGTGTTCCAGCCACAGAAGCAGCTCAATCTGCCCAGTGGGATTCAATATGACCCTGAATTTGATTGAACTATCTTAGACACCATAAGTAAGATAAACCTCATCAGAGTCAAAGTTGTAAGTAAGGAAATAAGCGGTTCCATTTGAAGATGGAGCATTTTCTCCATCAACATCAAAGGCTGTGTTTGTCTGTTTGCCAATGTACAGATCACTTCTCCAATATGGAGCATTTTCCTTCCAGATAAAAGTCTGGCCAGGCACTTTACGATCAATGCCTAAGGTAAATTTTCCGGGTTGCGGCCCAAGATGTAAGACCCCTTTGTTGGCCCGTCCTTGTATTCAAGCTAAGCTTCATGCCAGGAAAAAATGTATCAAAGGGATGATCGAAGCTCTGCCACAGAGTATCTTCTCCAAGTCTAAGTTCAAGATTTCCATTATGCATTAGTACACCAGTTGTTGCCTTCATAGCTGAAGCAGGTACTGATATATTAGAAGACCAGATAACTTCTCTTGTCTTATCCATGATGTCCAACACCACTAGATTCCCATCACCGCAGAGCGTAAAGACACCCAGAGAATTAAGTGGGGATTCTCTGTTAGCAACCCGTACTATTGGTGTCTTTGGGATTTTGTTGTACCATATACCAAGGAAGTATTTGATAGAATTTCAGGACTGAAGAAGCCTAATGCAAAGGTCCCAAGGGAAGAAATCAGGTCAGGTTTCCGGTGACAGATTTTCCTGGTTCTAAATTGTCTTGGCTGGTACAAATTGGCAAGACAAGAGATAAAAGTAGCAAAGCAAGAGAACCACTCCATTCAGAGCCAGAGAGACAGAGAAAGAAGACTAGTGAAAGTTCACACCATAATTGTGTTTCTTCCATTCAAAATAGGCATCATGTTTCTCTAAAGCACCTCAATTGCATCAATTGTTAAGTCCAAATTAATGTATCAATATTGACATATGTTTGTTGGGACAACAGGAGCTGAGGCGGTTACCATTTATCATGTCCAGATGTACTATTTCCCAAGGCACTCAGGTCCAAAGTATGAATGAGATCACCTTCCATTATAGGACAAAAAAAGTCTGACTTCTAGAATGATGCCCCCCTTCTACCACCTAATTTTGGCTAGCTTCTTTGTTCTGATTGATTTGTACTGGCTGGTTGTCTAGTTTGAAACAGAGAAAATAAAAACTTTTGGAACCCAATTGACTTGTGCGTTCACATAAGTTACATCAGTGCTTGTACCCAAAAGTTCCAAATATTACTGCACCGATACAAATTACACTTACAGATTATAAGCAAAGAAACACGAAATATGCATCATAAAATTTCATGCTGATGCACTAACTTGACAACAATGATGAAGATAAGAGGCATAAGAACTGCTTTGGCTACCGACCATCTTCTAATGTGACGGTTAACTCATTGATAGAAATGTTTCAGGTTCGCTTGAAGAAGAAGCCCTGCTACTTCTAGAAGGGCATCATTGCCTAACAATAAAGGCGGGTTTTTTATGTGCTGGAATAGTTGCAGTTTCACTGCCTAGTATGAAAACTACTTGTGACATGGTTGGGCGATCACCGGGATCTTCTTGTACACATAAGAGCCCAACATGGACACATTTTAAGTACTCAATTCAAGCAAAAATCTTTTTATTTTCTCCAACTCATTGCCAATAATTTCACTTTGTCGTTCAGAGGGGTGAAAAGCTGAGAGAGTTAGAGAGAAAAATACGACGAGGGAGAGAGAGTAATTCTTTGTAAAAAAAATATAAACAAAACATAAAAAATGTAATCTTGGGTTTTATAAATAGGTGAAATGGTATTTTAAAGAGGCTAGCAACACCAGCCCTTAGATTAAATCGAACGGATGTAACAAGTTTGGACCTCACAGGTCCTCAAATATGGTCCTCGGGAGAGCAGCATTATTGTCTCTGATAACCAGGCATTGTTGTCTCCTGCCCAAGAAATTACGTCAAGAAGACAGCGATCAACCGAGGCTCTTGATACCATGATAACCAGGCAAGTAAGAACAGAGGAAATGAAGAAGAAACTGAAAGGTTCTGGATTTCTTTTATTGATTTTCTCTATTGATTTAATACAATATTAGCTGGCTCAGTATTTATAGAGTTCAGCTTTGGCGGAATACAGGAGCTGTCAATGACTTAAGCTCTAAACTAATAACAAACTCACTTAACTAACTGACAGCTGGCACACCAGCTTAAGACTACTTGGCTAAACTTAATGTAACTCTAACAGTCTCTAATATGCAAATATTTTATTAAAATAGGAACATCTATCGACCTTCTGCCAAACTAATGGTGACTGTATTGTTGGAAAAACTTGCAGATGTTTGACCAGAAGAACTAACAGCAGCAGGTACGGAATTCTTGTGAGTTGAAAAGACAGGTTCCTTGGATGGTGGAAGTGATGTGGCTTCGTTGGCCTGCAGCATACGAATTACAGAAGACATTGTTGGTCGATCCTCTGGAGCTTCTTGAACACACAAAAACCCTACATGGATACACTTCAAAGCTTCATCAAGGGGGCATGTTTCCCTTACTGATGCATCAATCACCTCCATTCCTCTACCTTCTTTCCACAATTCCCAAGCCTAATTAAGATTTCAAATACTTATTAAACTCCAATTTTACGGTTAATCACAAATTTACAAGGCATACAAACAGAAAGGAACATATATAGTTTAGAATTATTTGTACTTACCCATCCAGCAAGAGTTGGTGAATGTTCAAAGCGATAAAAGCAGCATTCCTCTTTCCACTTACAATTTCCAACAACAACACTCCAAAACTAAACACATCTAGTTTCTCAGAGAAATGGCCATATCTGGCATACTCTGGCGACATGTATCCACTGCATGAGTTGATGGTAGAGAGGTAAGCAATAGTAATGATAGCATAAAGTTTAGCAAATGAATGAAAACATGCCCTACATATAAATACTTACTATGTGCCAACAACCCTATTGGTATTTGCTTCAGTCTGATTTATTTCGAAAATCTTAGCCATTCCGAAGTCTGAAATTTTGGGATTCATTGCTCCATCCAACAGCACATTACTTGCTTTCAAGTCCCTGTGATTGATTTTCAATCTAGAGTACTTGTGGATATAAAGTAGTCCCTGAGCAATACCTTCTATAATTCGAAAACGTCTTCCCCAATCTAATTCTGTATTGTTTGATGGAGCTGATAGGACAAACCATGAAGAAAAAAATGAGCTAAGTGTTTCTTTTTTCATTTTTTAGATGAAATGCTGGACAAAGGGAAAAAGATCTTGCATTACACGACTTTTGACGTCCGAGAAATCAACAATATCAAACAATCAAATCTTAGAAGGAATGAGGATATACCAAACAAAAGTTTGTCCAAACTTCGATTGGGCATGAACTCATAGATCAAGATGAGTTCCTCCTCTTCAATACAGCAACCCAAGAGCCTAACAAGATTGGTATGCTGGAGCTTGGCTATAAGCTTTAACTCATTCATAAACTCCAGATGTCCTTGGGCTGACTTCTTTGACAGCCTTTTTATGGCTACTTCTTGATTTTCAAGCAACACCCCCCTGTAGTGGAAGGAAAATTCCGCACAAAGTGAACCACCATTTTACAAATTCTACTCAATTAGGAAAAAGGTTATTAGGAGAACAAGAAAAGAAATTATAATATTTATGAAAGAACAACATTAATTAGCATTACAAAGTGGTGAAGTGTCCCCTTATAAACAGGGCCAAATCCTCCCTCTCCCAGTTTATTCGCTACACTGAAGTTGTTTGTTGCAGCTAAAACTCTCTTTAAACTGAAGAGTGGTAGTTCTGCATCATTCTTCGCAGCTTCAGCTCTGGCTTTACTTATAGTCTCACTCTTACTGCCTTCCGTGCTCCCTGTTTCATTCTTATTACTAGAGCATCGATTGTTTGGAACACTAGAATATATGTGTTTGTGTGAGTGAGAAAGAGAAGGAGAAAGAGAAGGGTGATAGCACTGTACCTTCCATTCCCAAGTATTTCTTCCACAAGAAATACCCAAGAACTAATGTAATCAATACCCCTGTTGCCGACGCTATTCCAATTACAGGGGACTTTTTCAATACAATATGGGAATGACTCTTAAGACCTGCCAAGAAAAGAAAACGAATGACCAATAAAATAATTGCTGTAAGCGTCATTTCTGGCCAACTACTGTCTGCTACGGATTCTAATTGACAAATCCATGCACAAAAATGCAAAAGAAATCACAAAACTTACCTAGTTGGGAGCCATGAACACGAATATAAACATCATGCCCATAATTTTTACACTGGGAGAATCAACAGGTTGATTATCTAGAATATCCATCAAGTCACCAAACCATGTCAGACATTTCCTACTGCTTCCTGCGGTCACATTTGGATAAGCATAAGCTGTGCAAGAGCAGTTCTGGAAGCATTTAGATTCACACGCACTCATAGTCATATTTTCTAACAGAACAGCATGATCTGGCAGTTTCAACTTAGAAAATTTTGAAAACCCATCTTCTTTACACATCAATGCTTTCTCTCGAACACAGCCACCAACCCAATTCCCCTTATCCCATTGTTCTTGGAATTTTGGCCGAAAACCTGTCAAACACTTGCATGGTGATGAGAGGGTTTCATTTTTATCATTGCAGGCACCGTATGGACCACAACGATTATAGAAATCACATGTATCAACAGGCTTCTTCCACCATGAAAACCATTTTTTACTGAGATCTAGCCACAGAAGCAGCTCAATCTGCCCATTTGGATTCAATATTACCCTATCTGAGACACCATAAGTAAGGTAAACCTCTTCAGCATCCGAGTTGTAAGTAAGGAAGTAAGCAGTTCCATTTAACAATGGAGCATGACCACCATCAACAACAAAGTCTGTGTTCGTCTCTTTGCCAACGTACAAATCACTTCTCCAATATATAGCATTTTCCTTCCAGATAACAAGCTGGCCAGGCACTTTAGGATCAATGCCTGAGGTAAACTTTCCGGGTTGTGGATCATCAAGTGCTGCCCAGGATGTAAGGGCCCTTCGTTTGCCCGTCCTTTTATTAAAGCTAAGTTTCATGTTAGCCAAAAAAGTATCAGAGGGATTATCGAAGCTCTGCCATAGAGTATCTTCTCCAAATCTAAGTTGAAGATCTCCATTATCTACTAGTACACCAGTTGTCCCATTCTTTGCAGAAGCAGGTACTGATGTATTAGAAGACCAGATAACTTTTCTATTCCCATCCACAGTGTCCCAACACCACTAGATTCCCATCACCGCTGAGCGTAAACACACCCGGAGAATCAAGTGGGGATTCTCTGTTAGCTACCCATATTATTGGTGTCTTCGGGATTTTGTTGTACCATATACCAAGGAAGTATTTGGTAGAATTTTCAGGACTGAAGAAGCCTAATGCAAAGGTCGCAAGAGAAGAAATCAAGGTCTGGTTTCCAATGATAGATTTTCCTGGTCCTAAATTCTCTTGGCTGATACAAATTGGCAAGACAAGAGATAGAAGTAGCAAAGCAAGACAAAGATTGAGCCACTCCATTCAGCAACGGAGAGACAAAGAAAGAAGAAGAAAAAATTTGTTCTTGCCTCAAAACTAAAAAAGTAAAACTATAATCTGTGCTTACTAAAACTAATGAAAGTTGACACCATAATTGCGTTTCTTCCATTCAAAATAGGCACCATGTTTCTCCAAAGCACCTGAATTGCATTAATTATTATGCCGAAATTAATGTATCATATTTACTAGAAATTTGTTGGGACAACAGGAGCTGAGGCGATTACCATTATCTCCAGATCTACTATTTCCCAAGCCACTCAGGTCCAAAGTATGAGTGAGACCACCCGTTGTGCTTTATCACCGTGCTAAGCCGAGATTCAGAAATAATAACACCACAAAGCCAACCACGATTGAACAACTTAAAATAACAAGGAACAAAGATAGTACACAAAAGATTAATGAGGTTCAGCAAAATCATGCCTACGTCTCCGAATAGAGTACTTCACTATAAGAATAATAACAATACAAGATACATTGGAATTAATCTACATAAGCCAAACTCCAAACCCCTATAAGCGGACTCACAGTATTTCCTAAGACCTCATCTCTCACAAGAGTTCTGTACTCTCTTGCTTTCCTCTGGGTTCTTTCTCTCATGTTAAGCCCGTCTTCCAGTCTTGCATGCACCCACATCAAATCGACCAGCTGCCACTACAAAAAAAAAATCAACAATTGTTACCTTTTTATTGGTGACTGTTGGCATCATTAGTCACCTTTTTGGTGAGTAAAAGCATAGTCACGATTCTGCTACAACTTTGGGCTTCAATACATATGAAGCCGTGACTAAAGCCTATTCTCACCATTTTAACAACATTCGTGACAAACACAAACTGACTCTCAACACCATCTAAAAGTACAGCGGGGCCCATCATCTATCCAATCAACTTCAGTTTATAATATTTTATTACTTATTTGACTAGTTTGGTATATTTTTATCATTATCTCAATAGCATTTAAGTACAATGGGGCCCATCAAATTCAACAAATTGAAACTATATTTGTGTATTAGACACATTCATTTAAGTAAATTTAGGTTTTAGACATAAAAAAATTTTCACATTAGGAAAAAGCCAAAGCTTTTTCAAAAAAGACAGAAAAACCTCTCAACTTTCAAATCAAAGACATGCAAGTGTAAAGGATTTCTTAGGAAATCCAAAAATAAATAAGGGCAATTTTGTCCATTTTAGCTTCTTTTACAAAATTTCTCTCTCCTCTAGGTTTTTCCAAAGTCTCCCTTAGATTTATTAAAAAGAATTACAGTTTTCATTTGTATATTTCTTACTTTTCATTTTCCAATAATTAATTAATAAAAATATTGCTTTTATTGATGTCTGGTCTTTAATGTAATTTCAATATAATTCAATATACAATTTAATAAAGATATTGACTTTCATTGCAATTTCTTCAAGTAGAGTAAACATTTCATAAACATATTAGCTTTGATTTCATAATTTTCATTACAATTTACACATATGGAGGATTAAACCTCCCAAAATATTAAGTCACTGGTAATTAAATATACAATCATTTGGGATCTACTTTCAAAAAGGAAATGGCATACCCTAGTACCAACAAAGCAATTATGATCACCCCTATGCCATATCCTCTCACCCGATTACACTTCTCTCTTCCAAGCACTTTAGAATATACAATATTGATTTCCTTTACTATTACTTCATCTAGTAGTTGGTTTTGCTTCTTTTTATTCCTAATATGAATGATCTTTGAATTCATATCTTCCTGCATGAAGTAATCACAAAGAATATATATATATATGTTAATTGTGCATTCTACTACATGGATGCCTCTATAACAAGCAACACAAGACAGTAGATCCTAAAATACAATCAAATTCAGTCTCATCACCATAACTTATGCAGATGTCTCATTCACATGTGTTCCATTCTTTCTTAGGTGGCACAATTCAAACATTTTGCATCTCTCAGAGGAGACACCCTTGTGATTCACCTTCTAAAATCCACTAGACATAATTCACATATCAAATATCATTTTAAATCAAATCACAAGTACTAAAAGAAGTTTTTCTTAAGCCATCCACAAAATCACTTGTTCATGGCCCATTAAGTAAAACAATTGAAAGCACATACCAGTTGTCCTATATTTTTATCATTTATATACGATCAAAACATTATGAGAATTTACATAAGCAGACTTACAATATGATAACATGCTCCACATTAATTAACTAGAAAAACTGTGACACTTACATATTGGTTCCTCACTTGGGCATATGATTTTGTCCCCGTTGTGTGCTTCATCATCCTGCGCTTCACACGATTACATTTATTTGTGACCCATTACATTTAATAAGCAAAACTAAACTAAACATTCAAACAACTTGAAATTTAAAAAAGTTAACAAAACTAACAAAGCATATTGAAAAAGCATGGTGACAATCGCAACATAGTGGTCCAGTTATTGATATGAAGAAAATAGTCAATGAGTAAATTTTTTAAAAAGGGTTAATGACCTAAATGGTCCCCTAACTATCGCTACATTATCATTTTGGTCCATCAACTAAAATTTTCAATTCAAACGTCCTTAAACTTTTTATATTATACCAAAATCGTCCTTCCGTGACAGATTCCGTCACTTTCGATCACGCGATGGCCATGTGACTGAGTTTTGAAGGGTATATGCGACTTTTTGAGAGTCATTTACACCCATTAACTTAAAACACTGAAAAAACCCAGAAATGGGAGGTTTTGGTGGAGCTTCTAACATAAATGGGAGGGAATGCGGAAAAGATGCCAACTTTGGCTTATGAGAAGAGGAGTAGAGCCAATGGTGGAAAAGCGCAGGTGGGTTTTGTCGATTGGGTTTCTGGGTGTGTTATGGTTTAGGTTGATTTTTTTGGTTGAGCTTGTGTTGAGGTGCTTGATTTTTGGGGTTTGGAGATGGGGGTTTCAAATAGATTGGGGGGATTGTGTTTGGGAGATGGGGTATTTAGGGTTTGGAGATTGGGCTTTGGTCTTGGGTTATTTGGGACGAATCTGGGCAGATGATGATGGAGGTTTTTTAATTATATTATATATATTTTTAATTATTAGTTATTTTTAACTATTATTAAATTTAATTATATTTTTATATACAACCCTTGGACATTGGACATTGGAAACTGATGCACAGTGAACAGAAATGGGAGGGAATGCGATACTACAGTGGCCAAGTCGTTTTAGAAGAGGATACTCATCTAAAAATACGGTTTTGTCCCTCGATTTAACAGAATAATTCACAAACTTTGACGGAAGGACGATTTTGATACAATATAAAAAGTTTAAGGACGTTTGAATTGAAAATTTTAGTTGATGGACCAAAATGATAATGTAGCGATAGTTGGGGGACCATTTAAGTCATTAACCCTTTTAAAAATGATGGCACTCAACCAACCCAAAAGGAAAAGAAAGAGGAAAAAAAAAGCATCAAACAAACAAGGGAAGATTTGATATCTGTTTAGAAAAATCCAACAGCAAAATCTTAAGTACTTTAGCCCTTCCTTCATTCCCTAATTTTCTCTTGAAGATGGCCAAGACAAATAGAAGAAATGGAAATACTTTAGTGAGCTAAAAACTAGTTTCTGGCTGCAATCAGATATTGCACTTGGTTATTATGTATGATCAGATCTTATAGAACCATAATTGAATATCAAAAACAAAATCATCAGAAATTTATCTTTAAAAATAAAAATCAAATCAAATTTAACAGAAACAAAGGGAAAATAAACAACCCAATCAATAAATTAAATGCCAAAATTTGCAGTAATTCAATTCAGAAAGAAACATACCAGCAAAGTCAAAGACTTTATCGAACTTAAGAAAGCAGTGATTATGAAGAATAGCCGATACCCCACCTTCAACAAACAAAAATACCAAAAGCACCATATTTCATGAAACCCAAAAGAGAAGAAAATAAACAAAGGAAAAAAATGCTTGCATAGAGAAGAAACATAGTTACAGTGAAAATGGCAAAACTTAAGGCATAAATTAAATGCCAAAAAAATGCTTGATGACATGTGGTATGTAGACGAATAAGTACTTAACATATTGCAGTGGGTTTAGGTCCCAAGTATGAATGAATGATATGACCTTGCTTTATAACTAAAACACAAAATGACAGGACCCGCCCCGAATTTCCCAGAACCCGAGACGAACCCTGCGGAGACCCCGGCATCACACCCACGCCGGGTTCACTCCTTAAAACTATGTCCTCTTTTACCAGAGAGGATTTAGGGCACGAGACTTTCTGCCAAAATTTCGGCAGAGTCTCCCCTGTAAATTGAACATTCCCCAAAATTTCCACCTGCATAAAACACATTTTATAACCCAACCAGCAGCACGCACAATATAATCTCATGCAATTTACATAAATGGCCTCCGGCCTTCAAATGATTCTAGCAGAACTGCCCACACGGTTTTAAAATATCTTACTGCATCACACATGCATATAACCAATTCAAAATCCATCCATACACACCTTCACTCACTCAGTCCACCGGACAAGCCTCAATTCAACCAAGTTTCGGGACCAACCACGAGGTCCGCATCATACACGATAAAACCACCTAAGTGGTGTCTAAGTCGTGGCTGCACCTAGGCGCTATCCCAGGCTGCCTACGTACCCTACTAAGGGATCAAGCCACACGTAGCTCTTTCCTATCAATCATGGCTCCTGATATCAATTAAACCATTACATCCACATAAATTCATACATTCTACGGTTTCATCCATCTCAACACACCAAACACAATCACATAGCTCCCCTCATACGACGGGACGCACCCGGCCTCGTACGGGGTCTGTCAACACGCCGGCTAATCCAAAGACGCGTGCGACCTCACACTGGGCCTGGCTACATTCTCACCAGCCATCATACCATCATATCTCCCACTCATACGTCGGGACGTACCCGGCCACGTACGGGGTCTGTCAACACGCCGGCTAACCCAAAGACGCGTGCGACCT